GTTATATCTGTTAATCAACGGTAATTACCTGAGAGTATTAAAAGTGTGGTGTGTTCACGGTTCTTTTATAAACTGATTCCTTTAATTATAAAATGAAGTCAGCACAAAATTGTACAAAAAAAGGAAGCTTTTGAATATCAGCAGAAATTATTTGTAAAATTTTCAGGAAAATGTCGGTCGGTCTTCAAGGATGTATATTTTGTGATATCGTTCATACGAAGAAGCAGCAACATTTAAAAGAGAGCGAAAATGTTAGTGATTTTCTACGTATTTATTGCGGTTTTGGAAATCTTCTCGTATTATTTTCCATATTGTTGAACTGTTTCAATGCATGCAGATGATCAGCGTTTTTAGTATTGCTTTCAATCCCGTGATTTTTACACCACAGAGCAATGAAATCGGAGTGCTCTTAATCAAGTGAACAGATATTGAGATATAATACTCATTTTTGACTAAGTATTATATCTGAGCTGATATTTCCTGTTTCGATAGAATTCAGAATTGACTGCTGAGATAAGCAGACTTCAGTTTTGAGGTTGTTTCAGGCGGTGGTTATAGCTGACGCGGCACCGCATGCTCCACATCATTATCTCATTTTGAGCAAGAGGCACATCAGTAAACCGACTGATCTCACACCGGGAGATATCGACCTTGGTCGGTAAATTGCGTCCATTCTGAACTCTTTTACTTGATAATCTAGCCGCGAAAGTGCTCATCTCAAGCTCTATTCCTTCAGTGTCCTGTATAAGGTTCATTTCTAGAATGAATGTAATGAGTATCCTGGTGTTGTTTCAGTCGTTCATATGAATTTTAGTGAAAGAAATGGAGCATGTCGGAAGAGAATATCTTCGTGAAGCGTTGAAAGCAAAAGGTGAAGCCGACACTGTGGAAGATTTGCTAAGAATGGGTTTTCATGGATCGGTGTTGGTTTCAGTCAAACATCTTCATATGCACTTACTATATCCTGTCAGTCAGGTAAGTTATTCCACTTATTGTTTCGAGACCACGAATGAAGCATTTTATCATTCCATCACCTATGAAATTCCAATTGTATAAACTTATTCAGCTCATCTTATTTGAAGAAGAAATATCTTGACCTACCTAGCTATACAATGATACTGATCTGCAGCTATTAAAGGATTGACCGAACTTGGTTGCAGAATGTACTGCGAGGATCAGCGATCATCATCAGTTCATATCAAACATTAGAAATGTTTCAGATGAGTTTCATCTATCGAAGTGTTATCTTTCGTCCGGGTCACATGTTCCATTTAACCAAAGATGTGATCGAAGAGCTGGAGCAACAGAAGGGAGGTGCAACCGGAGCAGAGTCCACTCCACCAATGCATCTGGAAACCACTGCCGACGGCAGACTTCGAGCTAGTTCGGTGACTGAACTTGGAGCTAGTCCGGTGACTGACATGACTGGTCAACCGGAGGAGTGAAAACCAACCACATACGCAGTTTCTTTTTTTTNTTTTTTTTCACTTTTCGTGTAATTTTGCACCATTTAACGTGAACAATTATTATGTAATTATGTCTGTGATCAGTTTTTCGTTCGAACAAAATAATGCTGGTGCTGAAGAGTGTCTCTCTCTCGTCTAGTTGTTATTCATATTAAGTCAGGTCTGCATTAAACGTTGTTGTTGGCAGTAAATACACTTTCCTCAGTACGATCTCAAATTCATTCCAAAACTGCTCAAAAGTTCGCAGTTAAAGGTGAATCACATATCTCAGAAGGAGATACATTTCACTCGTCGTTTAGAGAGTAATGGGCGCTCGTTCATTATTTTTTATCGAGTCGGTATTATATTCTTCGTTGCTATTATTATAAACACCATAAGTATTTTACAGGTGTTTATAATTGATCAGAATTCATAGGTTGTTTTAAATTTTTTCTGATTTGCTAGTAATTGTGCGAATGTAAGGTTTCCCAATGCTTTCACTGTTTGTTTTTTTGTCTATTTTCAGACATTTTGTACTTTGAATGTCCAAAATATATTTTATTTTCATTAGTGTTGTTTCGTTTCATTTTTCCAAAAAATTTCACTTCTCATTCTTTTTTGGTGCATACTCGATGTATATAGTATGTATTTTCTTAAACTTGCATCGCTTTTTTCAATGGCTTTGACAGCACATAATGAAGGTTGTGGTCGATACATTGCAATCGGAGGATAATCTATTGCTTTCATTCACACGTCGAAATAATTACGCCAAAAGGTAATCTTGTTCTTGCATTTTCCTTCGGAATGCTTATCATTACATGAGTCATTTTGTTATGTTGTAAATTTTATATCACTTAAAATGTTCGGTGTTGATGTTAAAATGTGATTGATTCGAAATGTAATCGTGCTAATATGTTTTTGTAAGTCTCCACAACGTTGTAATTAATAAGCTTTACTAATCGATTATCTTATTGTTATAATACTTTCATATTGATGCAATTTTTGGAAGTCATACTTAACAGTATTCTTGTTTGTATTGCTGCAGTTCTGTGCTGTTACTCCTGTATTAGAGGTTTGTTGAAACTTCAATTGTTTTTCATCTGATGATGGTAACATCGTAAATGAATCTGAATAAATTCATTCGTTTAGTTTCGATTTTTCACAGTTTCCTTATATACGAATCGGTTTGGAACACTCTGAACATTGATTATTTGAAAATGCGATTGAAAGTCATGAAATTCATTCTTGTAAAAGAATGTCTATTGAAGAGAGGCAATGGGATGTCATAAAAAGAGATTTTCATGGATTAAAGAAAGGGGCATGAATCGATGAATAGTTTTGGTTAGGCATAGTCGAATGGTAAACTTATGTATGTGCAGAAGTACCACGGAATCAGCAGTGCTTTCGGGAGGAAATGATCATAAGATAGTGAATACTAGTTCGAAGGACATGTATGGTGCCGGATATTTATAATAACATAGAAAGCGTAAAACTGAGAAATTCAGGAGATGGGCTCAATAGCGATTGGTGATCGCATAGGAGTAGGTGATGATCGAGGCACGGTGCGTTATGTGGGTGAAGTGGATGGCTATAACGGCGAGTGGATCGGTGTGGAGTGGGACGATCCGAAACGTGGAAAACACAATGGAACGGTCAAAGGACGGAAATATTTTGAGGCACGGTATGATGAGTGTAGCGATTCGATTTTAACTTTAGTTGAATGTCATGAAAATACCAAAATTTTATCGTTATTGCTCGAATTATTTCATCAGCGGTGCAGTTTGATAACATTAATTATTTATTCATTTACTTAATCAGCAATTGTAATTCATTACAAATTAATGTCTCTCTGTTATCACAAACGTCACATTCTTCTTTCGTTGATATGCTTCTTTTTTCTTTTCGCCCCATTTCATAGTGCGTTCGATAGGCGAATGGTCCATCCTGGATTCTGGTAATTATGAAAGACCGTTTCGATATTATAGTGAGAACACGAGTGGTTCGTTTGTACGTGCGGTGAATGTAGATCGAGGCAGATCGATAACAGATGAAATGCAATGCCGATACACCGAAGATTCTGAAATGGATACGCATCAGATTGGTGTGAAGACCATTGAAATGGTGGCAATGGAGAAAACGCGTCGGAAACAGAAGTGAGCCTCACATTTCTCAGTGTGTTCTCAACCAGTTACTATTTCCAAATCTTTTGATCACTTCTGATTAATATTTTGGTTTGATTTGGAGTTTTCCTGGCACAGTTGGGTTCGATTTCGTTGGAAGTTCAGAAATTTTGGCGGTTATGTCGTTGAGTTAATTGGCAGGGAGTGGGAAAAGAATAGTTGATGAGAGTAACTCAAGCCGAATTGCCGTACTGAAGCAAGATGTATCGTTTGTTGAAGGAACTTGTGGAAATTGGGTTGTGTCGTATTGGATCGAATGCACGTCGCGAAGCCTCCCGCCGACGGATGTGCACCATTCAAACTGTGTACTGAATTGAATCTCTACAATAATTTGTTGGCGTACTGGAGTGATCTCCTTTCAATTTTGGATTACTTTCCATCGCTACGCTATTTGAATATCAAGTGCGTTTCATTCTTTAATGCTTCAAATTTATTCGTCGTTAGAATTCCTTCACACTCACATTTACGTGTGAGCAATACTCATTTATTCGCATGAGAATTACCGCTTTTCGAACGTTATGTAGTCGAGCTTTTTCTCTTCTTTCCTTCCCATTCTTCTGTAATTCTACTTTAATCATTTGCAGACGCAACGTTATGGAACCTCGAATGGAATCAGTTCAAGACCGATCACGTATTGTCAAATCACCCATCTTTCATCTGGTCATCAGTGAATGTCGAATTGATCAAGAAACGGTAATTCTAGAATCTTTCATTTAGACCCTGAATATTGTAACACTGGAAATTNATTTAGTTGTTAGGTATCGCCACAATCCGTATTTGGAAACCGTATCCTCGGACGAATGGTTTTTGGGCTTTGAATTAGCATTCTCTTTGAAGATTAGCGATCGTAATCGTTCGTTTCGGTTGAAGGTGCATATTGATGTTGTTTTGAGTCGTTAGGAGAGGAATGATTGACGATATCAAGAAACTGACTAATCAGATAGTTTGTGATTTACGTTCTCAAAGAACTCTCACAAATTTGTTCAGGCGAGTCGAGTAATGCAGATATTCCCGGGATTAAACGAATTGTATATGTCGAATAACGGATTGGAGCGTTTCGATCCCGCTGAGCACGGCAGCCATTTGACAGTGCTCGACTTGGAAGGGAATCCGATCGTTGATTTTAGCCATCTTCATAATTTATCCACACTTCCGAGGTTTTCAATAATGCTCGTCTTTTTTTTAAGTTTGCAGCTAATCGTTTTGATTTGCAGGTTAAAGTCACTGAATTTGACTGATTGTGCTCTAACGAGTGTTAGATTACCAGAACCGATTGGCTTTGCGCAACTGGAAACGTTGAACCTTCGTGATAATGACATAAACGATGTGAGTTGTTTGTGTGAGTGTTTTGGTTGGTTTCTGCTTGTTATTTTTGTGGTAGACGTTCTCGCTTTTCTGTGACTGAAACTTATTGTTTAGAGGGTTAGGTAGGGGAAAGGTTTTTGTGGTTTATAGCTGCGTTCAGGACAGGCCAACCGTGCAATCGTAAGAGTTTAGTTGATTTTGATTCCAGAAGTGACATTCAAATGATAATTCTAATACTGTTACCACCTAAATAACAAATGTGATATGTATTTTTAAATCAACCCTTCATTAGATCGTTGACATTTTTTGTGAACTGCAGTGGGAAAGCATTTCCGAGTTGGCTCGGTTACCGTCTCTGGAACGTCTGTTCTGCAAAGGCAGCGCTATGGTGCCGAAATCAGAATTTGGGTTGGATATACGTGAGATAGTCATCGCCAAGCTACCGAACCTGATAGATTTGGAACGGACGGATATTAGTGCAGTGGAAAGGCGATCAGCCGAAATCAGATTCTTGAACAATTACTCGCGACCGCCGATTAGCCAACATCATATTCGAGATATTGAGAGGTTCACGTCTTATCCGATTCGAATTTTCTCCATTATTTTACGATCGTTTAGCGACACCATGGATATCAAATGTGAAAATTTTCGATTGTGTGTTGTGTTATCAGGAATCGGGTGGAGGCTCGGTTTTGTTTGTTTGAAAGAGTCGTAAATGTTTGCGTAGAACGTAATGATGCTCTTAGTATTGTCAGTAGAATCAATTATGACTCTGTATTGTCAAAGAAATAAGACGGTGATTGCTGAAAAGAGTGGATTTATGACCGGAATGAATCTATTTTCGGAAATATTGACATAATCGTTTTGAAGGTTGACGAAGATCCACGGTGAACCGGATGTGGTGGCGTTGTCGAAGAAAACGTTGGGTTTGAGTCTTTTGAAACTTAATTTGAGGATGAATGATAAGACTATTGAATGTTCACTGCCAGATTCAACTAGCATACAACGAATGAAGGGTATTGTGAGTAGAATGTTCAAACTGAATCCCGGAAAGGTATTTGCTTCTTTTTTTCATCTCATTTGTTTAAGAGCCAAAATTATTTGAAGTGTCATTTTCGCAAAAAAAATCTTCGATGAACATCCTCAATGATCTCTTTTATCGTTTCATCAGTTTTCTCCTAACTTGTTTTTTTTTTTTCATTCTCATCTTCTCGATTAATATTCAAACGGTATGGCATGCTTGATGAAGAATGTTTTCCAGATTTCTCTGATCGCTAAAACTGGCGACAAGCATGACTTTCTTTTTGAATTGGATAATCCACTAAAGTCACTGCAATTCTATTCTCTCGCTGATGGTGATACTGTGATGGTTAAAGAAGATGACAAGTAGATCATCGAAGTGTAAGACGGGATGGTATCTACAAATAAATGATGATTATTGTGATAATAGTGATGGCACTTGTAAACGAAGTATTTCGTCCGATTTGCAGCTTATTATTTCACATTTCGCATTCTGTCAGTATGAATCGAATGAAGATTGCTGAATCAGTTCATCACTGATTTATTCAATCAGCAGTCACAACTCATCACTAGTTTAGGCCTCTCTTTTAATGTCACTACAATAAATTTCGCAGTCTTTCTTCCTTACATTTTTATTGCATTCATTGCTAAGTCCTTCAGTCAATCGATTATTACAGATTATTTGATGTATTATATGAGTTTAAGTAAGTCTTCTGTGCACTGCTTAGGCGTTTTGTTAGTTGTGTTAGGTGACTCTGTCGACATCTTTCTTTGATCTGTTGAACGAATGTTTTTTTAAATGTTTTTAAGAAATGATCATTGGTTTATTTTTATGTTATGCTTTTAGTCACATTGACATATCCTAATCATTATAATCGGGTATTAGAATCTGCTTTCTTATGGTTAAATATCATTTGGGAGTTGTTTTGAATTTTATATATTCTTCAATGATTCGTTGTTGAATTCTTCTGTTGTGAATTGCTGCTAGTAGCTAGTACACTCGTTCTCATGTTCTGTTGTCATTTGCTTTGTGCTGTTTACACTGAAGAGTCATGAATTACCACTGTTATAAAGGGTGAAAATTTTAAAAAATTATTTGATGGATTCAATTGATGTTGAAACCGTAAAACAAATCATAGCCCGTTTTAAGCTCACAGTCAGTAAATTCAGATATCTTCATTTTTGTATCATATTACCATTGTAGAAAATCCTACAGAAAAATAAAGCTGTCAGTACAGTCGATCACTTTATTCAATAATATACATTGAGTTGAAATAATCTCTATTTCGCTATATTGAAGTTATTCAGATGAAGAAATCTATTCACTGATATTCAGAAATATATTCACTAAATGATGGCTTTTGTTGTCTCGTCGTAGGAATTTCAACAAGACCGTCACTTACAAACGGTTCCATCGTTGCTTTTCAGTGTGCCCCGAGTTTGCATATGAATTTGTACTGGCTCTCCAACCTCAACATTCATCGACACACTGCAAATAATTTTCGTGTTAAGATTGTGAATATTAATCGGAGAATATTCCTTACAACTTTATTGCAGTTGTTATTATTCGTTACAATTATTGCTCGTGTTACATATGTAATTGCGATGTTTTGTTATTCAGTCGGCTTTATTCAGATTATTATCTGCTAATTGATAGTGGTCAGTGGATGTGCGTTGTTGATGATGCGAGACAATCGAGCTGAGGAACCAGCCGAAGTTGTGCCGAGTCACCTTAAAGTAACACCGCCAAAGGTTTGTGTGTCGACATTTTCACCGATTTTGTAATACCACTCATAGTTTTTAATATTCATTATTTTATGTTTACATTAGAATTGCTCATAGCGTTTTGCGTATCGACGGTATCACTGCGGATCTATTGCAAGCGTTATGCAGCTCTGCGAGGTTGACGGAACTGTTTTCATTACTCGAATTATATGCTTTAAATTGCCCTTTCTACAGTGACTTTCCATATTTCGTTTCATCGTAACGTATGACAGTTACTGTCAGGATTTTCATAGCAATAAATCTGGCATATCACTTATCTCTGTATTTCGTTCGTATTTTCAATTGAACGAATTCCATCAGAGCTACTCCAAAATTCGACGTTTTTATTTGTGATTTTTCAGGTGTCTAACATCGTTGCCCATTTGGTGCATAATAAATTGCTTAATCCAAAATCGTCAACGTTCAAATATCACCCGAAAGGAAATGTCTATACAATTGAAAATCCAGTATGTGTCATTCTATTCATAATCATATTAAACAAGATTCTGATTTTCACAAGAAATGTTCAATTGGCTTTATCTCAGAGCAATCAAATCAATTAGGCGTTACCTTGTAAGTTTTTTAAAAACAAAAAGCAAGTATGATGCGAATAAATAAACGTCCGTATTGAATCGAATTGCAACTTGAAATCGTATTTATTTATGTGCAAATTGAGACATCTGAAAGCATTTGATTGTTCAGGAATTTATGAATTTTCACTTTCAGGCCACTTCGAGTGCGAATGTGATTCAGTTAGGTCGTGAGGATGCGAGCACCGAACGAGGCTTCGATTATGCGGTAGCAATTGTCAGTAAACGGACCGGTAAAGTACAGTACGTACCGGCCAAATTAGTGAATTTTCAAGCAACGTACGCAAGTGATCCAGCACCACTGTTTGGTCACAAGTTCGTTTTAGATCGTTATATTTAGAAAATTTGGTATTTTTCTGCTGAATCAGCTGTCGCGTTTAATCGAGAAGACATTAGTGAATGATGATGCAGGCTTCGATATTAGTTTAGGGTGTTTCGATTAGGGCTTTGAAGGTAGGGGTAGTGGTGTTCAGTGAGTTGTTGCGTTAAGAGACTTTGTTAGCTGAACGAGGATAATGTGCCGTTAGCAAGTTTTAGGATTGATTCGTTGTGCATTCTGCAATGTTGATCATTCTAAAAATGTGTAATTCTGTTGATTGAAGGCCATCGCAGCGTATCGATTATACGGTCGATAACAGTGGCCAAAGTGAGACGTTTGCTGACGAGAGACGAGCGTTGACCACGGAGTTCGGTTCGCATCGAAAGATCAAAGTACAGGAAGACTTCGAGAGGAGACGAGTCAGCGAGGTGAGCATTCTCCTTGGTTTTTATTTGCCTGTTTTTTGTGGATTGTAATCATGCTGTGGTGTGCGGCGTTTTGATGCTTTCATCCAAAGAAACTTCATTCAAGGAGACTTACTTAAATAAATGTTAAAGGCGAGAAGTGAAACAGAGAATTGTAATGATTGATTTTTTAGCAAACACTGAAAATAATGATGGAGTCAACGTTCTCATCACCAGTCGCTGTGAAAAAGGAGGAGCAAGACGATGATGTGAAAACTAATCCATTGTCAATATCATGTGACAACCAGGTGCGATAATGACTTTATTCATTCACTTTTGCAGAATTTTTGTTTTCGATGGTTTCTGTTTTGGTTTGACTCGGTGACGATTGATTGAAATGACCGTGAAATTTTTGCATCAGTCCATTCAGTTCATTGTTTTGTATCATTTTGGTTTTTGTTGCAATAATTATAAGAATAATTATTGAGAATTCGGTTAATACGTTCAGACGATAGTTAGAATTGTTTAGAGCGAAGTGTTGCCGAAAGCGAATCAGAACGCAAATTTACCAGCGGAGGTGTATTCTACAGACGCGTTCCTGACAGAGGATGAGATCAGTTCGATCGGAAACGATGCGGTCGCTTATTTGAAGAGATCGAAAGAGGAGTTGATCGCCAGTGACGGTTGGTTGCAAATGTTTTTTGGTTTTTTAAGGAGGGGCGTTTTTGATAGTCGTCAGAAATTTTTTGATTGACCGAAATCGGCATAGTTCAATGGTGGTGCAATTTGACTTGTTTCGTGAATGAATTTGGATTGGGTTGTGATTCGTGTGCATTTTGAATAATTGGTGCGGTGAATGTATTTGTAGTTGAATTTGTTTAGATTGTAGTGAGTTATTGTATGGAATAGTATCGAATGCTGTCACAGATTGCAGAAAAGCAAGTTTGGCGTTGCTGCTAATCGCTATGGTTAAATCTTTTAAGGTTTGTTTTTTGATGATGATTCACTTGAACAGAAATGTTGATTTTGCAAGAATTCAAATTTTATTCGGACTGAATCCTCATGTTAATGATGGTATTGAACTGTTTTTTTTTTGCGGTTTTAAGATGCTCTCCGGAAGGGGAAAATGCTTCTTGGTAAAGCAGGACTGGGTGAAGATTACGTCGTTGCCTGCATCAGTTCTTGGCAAGATTCGAGTGGATTTCTTGCGTGCGTTCTTTTTGATAGTTCTTCTTGATCCGTCATCTTTTAAAGACTGATCTTTTGACTCGTAACTATTTCCGGATTTTTTCGTCAGTTCAAAAGTTTGCTGGAAATTAGAGCGATGTGCAGATGAGAAGTGTAATTTTGGAATTTGGTTTCTTCGAATTTCAGCTGGAGAATTCAAGAAGGACAATGCAAGGAGTCGAGTCGAAAAACTAAATGTGAACTCAGTGCAGAGAGATAAATTACTTGCACATATTTTGTGTCTAATCCTTGTTCTAAACGGTGAGTCGTAGAACTCTGCGTAATCATTCATTTTTGTTTCTATTTTATTAAAATTTTTGTCAAGTTCGACGAAAAATTTCTGGCCTCACTCGGATTTATTTATGCGCGCATTGAAATGCAAACGAGATTCCATTTTCATTAGGTCAGGTTCATGAGCAGGACTTGTTTCTACGCTTTTGTTTAGCGCTGTGAATCAGGAATATCATAGGTAAGATCAAATCAGAAAAGCTGACTTGATATAGAGTGTTCTGGTGCCAGTATTTTTCTGAATATAACTGATTGGTTCATTTATTTTTGTAGAACGATCACATTCGTTGCCCATCACAAGATGGGTGAAGGAGTTGGACGTCACTGAGAACAAAATGACGAAATTTTTGGAGGCACTTGGCTGCACGTTGGTTTTGTCTACTCCGTTTTGCATTCTTTTTTCGTGGCCTCGTTAAGGTGTTTGCTCTTTCAAAAGCGCTACAGATATAACAGGATTTCGCGTTAGAGTGATGGTAAGTTTAGTGGAAATTACCTTTCAGAATTCAAAAGGCGTCTGTTTCTGAGGCTCTCGAGTTGGATACCATACGTATTGCACGCCTCACAGGACCGCCGAGAAGTAAAATTAAGAAATTCACTCGACGAAGATAGGGAATTAATGTGATCTGATTTGTGGATGCATAGATAGATTTTGACCGTGACTGTGAAGGAGTAACTAAACGCTCAATATTTGCTCGTAAACTTTCGTGAATCCACCGTTGTTGTTTTTTTTCATGGCTCATGCGAGTTCTTTGATTCAGGCAATTCGAATGTCATATTCATGAGGTTTTGGAATCAAATTTTTAGCCAAATTCAAACTTTGAGCATAAAATTGGAAGAATTTAGTTTTCGAAGAGTTTCATATCAGTCAGTGAAAGATTCACCACCAAACAGTTGTTCGCTGTCACTGGTTGATTTGCGTCAGAATTGAAAAGAAATTATTGAGTATAACTATTTGAAGAGATTGATATAAAATCGTTTATGATGATTGTTTTCGTGTGATGTCGTTGATTTTGTTTCAGAGATTCTGTACTAATTAAAAGCCAACTGAACTTTTGTGTCGTGATCTTTAAACTTTCAAGAAAGAACTTTTCCAAAAATGGTTAAAATGATGAAATAAGTGAATAAAACGAAAGAACAGTGCGATTTGGCTTGGTTTCAAAATTGGCAACCTTAAACCGCTCTTAAATTAGCTTACTTCTAAAAATTCTAGAAGTAACCATTACAAATCCAACACTCCACCGTTTCTGGAAGAGGGCCTACTGATCGCTAGACGGCTCCCTAAGTGCCATTTTGTGATTGTGATCAGAGGCCCGCGAAAGGAAAGCCTGATTTCCAGTTCAAATGTGTCTTTGATTAGAAGATATCTTGTCAACTATGACTAATCCGAGCTTACAAGCAGTCCGCTAGCCACAGTACCAGAGCGATGGCTGTCACCCAATGAGCGTAAATCGGCGAGGATGAACCTCTCTCCAAACCCGTCCCAATCTCACAAAAACATCGATAGCCTCGACTTCTGGTTCCAACTGGAAATCAGGTGGAATCGAATACCGCCCAGCTAGTGAACACCTCGCGTTTGTGATCACTCAAATTCCATTATCCAAAAGATAAAATTCTGGTTTCATCCATCAAGAGAAACGAAAACACTTCAACCATCTCACCAAACCAATTTTCTATTACGAAACGCAATATCCTCAGAAATATTTAATTGAAAACCTGAAGAATCTAACTCGTGTTAGCGTCATCATTGGATGAGGAACGCTACTGAAAAGCAAAATTGGTGAATGCAAAATCTGTGATACACACTTACATCATTTATGTCCTATTTAAAAGGTACACGAAAATGACGATAAAATGCAGATTTATCGCTGATAAAAGCAACTCTTCGGGAGAGAGCTGAGTTCCACTTCACTAATATGCTACATATTAACACAAATTAATTAAAGTTTGCGAAAATATAGTACGCGATTAATCATGAAATTAATTAGTCTCTAATGAAAAAATAGGTAATAAGAATGTGAACTGAACGAAGCGATAGCTCGTAGCAGAATCACCTCGGAATCACTTTTTAATTCGAAGCGGTACAATATAGTGGAAAGGAGGGTAAACCTGGCACAAACAAAACTTTTGCTCTGAGAAGCGGTTAAAATCATGCAAATATGCAAAAAGCAAATCTCCTCAACATCTATCAATGGAGGTACGTACGTTCATTATGGTAACAGTAATCAAAAGAAACACCATCATCTCAATACCAGGGTGTGCGTTTTACGGGAATATAACACAAACTGAGCTTGGGCATCAGATTTTCGTCAAACATTCATCGAAAGAACAATCGATTACGCCGTGTTCAAAGGATCTATATCTGCAAATGTTCCAACAATAAGCAACATTCAATTTTCGTATTATGCTTGCATCTCATCCATTTAAGAATTGACAGATATAAAAGGCTGTTCATCTTGAGAAAGAGCCTCATTTGTGAATCACGAATCTCCATGGAAGTGGACGATCGTATTGACGAATAGAATAGCCTCTAGAACAGTGGTTCTCTCACTCACAAGCTCCATTGCATTCTTCGATGATCTAGCGGACGGTCTACCTCTCCTATCTCTCCTCCACCGCAAGAATTTACTGTTCCCGCTAGTAACAAACGAAAAATCGATCCGGAAATTATTCCGTCAGTAATAAACGGAAAACT